CCAAAACCCCAAAACCCCAAAACCCCTCATAAACAATCAGAGCGATTTTGCTAAAATGAATTAGAGTAGAATATAAGTTTTAAATATGAAACTATAACTAAAGGAAATTCAGTTCTTTGAGAACATCTCCTACTCACTTTCAGAGGAGATTGATATATTCTATTGCTTAAAGCAAAATACAGCCTAGTTTGAAACCCAAACCTATGATTAACCATTGATTAAGGATAAACTTATCAACATCATTGAGACACTAGGTAAATATATTCGCACAATTATCAGATTTATTTAGAAAACAGAAGAGATGGCGATTAGTATTCTAAAGCATTACAGCAATTATACATATTTTCTATGGGTTAATACTCAGTCAAGGACACCTTAGTTGAATAGTATCCAAATTCTAGGCTGAAGAAGGTGCTAGCCAACAATGCTCTCAATTAAATTACTTCGATTCAAGTGATTTGTCAGAATTTGAATCACAAAATGAGCTTAATGCCCTCGATCGACTTAAGTCAAGACAAGAACGAACCCTTTCCTTTGAGGCTAAATCTTGAATAAGAAACTAGAATGCTATTGAACATCCTCATCAACTACATTCTAGTCAATATTAATGATGACCCTCATCTCTCAAGAGATGTCATTCATGAAAATAACGCTATAGAGGAGATGTGCTTCAGATCAATTAAATTCAGTCTTGAGATTCCTGTTGTTCCCATCAGGAAATTTCTTATATTGTTCTACCTCTTCCTAAGACTTTCTTTTGGAGAAGCCCCAGGTACTATTTTAACCATGCTAAATTCTTTATTAGAGACCAGAGAAGAATGGAAGGATTTGAAATTCTTAAAAGAACTTTAAAATCTAGTTGAGAAGGAAGAACCTAGATTCAATATGAAAGTGCCGTCACCAGTTGAGAAGTTCTATAAAAGACATATGAACTCAGACAACCCGATACCACAGATTATTGTAGTCGGTATACTTAGAGTACTACTGACTACTTGCCCAAATGCTGCCAGAAATACAGGTAAAGGAATATAAGCATAACTCTATTATAGGAGGAATCGATTTGCACAGTGAATGGAGTTCAAGTTTACAATTCGCTTTCTATAAGAAAGAATTTTTCATAGAAAATGGGTTTAAATCAGCACATTACGCTCACAGCTTTTTAATAAGTCAAGATTCACAGAATGACGATGTAAGAGCTGAGGCGCCAGATTTTGCTACTGTAGAAGATTATAAGTACGAGAATGACCGGCACAGAGTCATAGTGGCCTTAGTCATTTCAGATTTTTTCTTATTCCTGATGAAACACTTCAAGAATAATCATGTGATCCAGTTTATCTACATATCCTAACTAGTAGTTGATGCTAATGGAGTTTTGGTGCTGTTGAAATTCTTGAATTAGGACTTCACAAAGATAGATTTCAGCACAGTGAAGATTGACTAAAAGTACGATTTCATTTACAACGAGGTGGGCTAACTTTAACTTGATTAGATTCTTGAGTACTCCATAAATTCTCTGCTCAGATTGATGTATAAGACTTGCAAGAATCAAGGGGAGAGAATCAAATCCTATCTAGTCCAGTACAAAGCAGCTGTAAGTTAATTTAAGATAAATCTTTATTATTAGTTGATAATGAAAAGACTAATCAACAAGTTTGAGAAGAGCGAGGTAGCTGATATCAAGAAGAATGCTGGAAAGATCATTAAGATCCAGATAAAGTATATGAATAGAAACTGGCGCAAGAATAATATGAAGATAGTCTCACTAGTCTATCAGTATGTAAAGCTAAGGAGATTAGACGACTGGCTTGCTTGGGAAAATCAAGCACTCGAAGAGGAACTATACCTTTCTCAGGATGAGATCAGGCATATTAACTCTGACTTCAACTATAAACATTACAATTAGTTTATAGAGAAAATGGAAGAAGATAATTTGAAACTGGCAGCCGCTCAAAGTGGCATCGAATTGAATGAAGATGGATCAGGTATCGATAATGAGGAGGAAAAGCAAAAATAAAGTTAAGCTGAGTAAAAGAGATTAGAGAATAATAAGAAATATGGGATCATTAGTAGTGGCCTTGATGTTGCTGTTGATGAAACTAATATATTGCATCATATGTGGAAAAAGGCTGTTGTCGATGAAACCTTTTATCAAAATTATGAATAATGGCTAGAGGAGGAAGTTTGGAGCTACTATGACTGAATGTTCACTAATTGATTGATAATCAATACTATTTCTATTATTAAGTTTAGCAATTTGAACAAAAAATGCTCTATTTTGTTGTTGTGGGGTTTTGGGGTTTTGGGGTTTTGGGG